CTCACGCCAGGCACGTGTGCGTGCGTGCCCAAGATCCCGAGAGGAGACTGGAGGAGAAGGGATTGCGGCGTGGCCATCCCCACTGGGGGGTGATTTCTCGCTTTCTGTCTCTCTGTCTGTCTCTGTCTGTCTGGTGAGCGCACGTGCCCTATAGCAAAAACCTCTCCCAAAAAAAAAAAAAAACTAAATTTAAGAGGCCAGCATGTGGCGTGGTGATTAAGGACTCACACGTAGTGGGTAGAGTCTCAGACCTGGCATCTTACATTCTCACTTTTCACTCTCTCTCTTAAAAAAAGGAAAATTAAAAAAAGAAAGAAACATGCTAGGTACTTGTGTATGTGTGCCCCAAATCCTAATAGGGTGAAGAAATGTAGAAGGAATTGTGGAGTGACCCTACCCCATCAGGGGTGCTTTCTCCCTCTCTGTCTGTCTCCGGTGAGTGTACACACCCTCTGACAATTAAAGAAAAGACAAGGGACCAGAAGTAATGGTTATGTTGCTGGACTCCCACGTAGTCGACTGCAGTTTGAGTCTCAGACCTGGGGGCTTAAGACTTATGCCAAGGAGACCGGCAGGTGGTGTGGTAGTTAAAGGCCCGAGACTCTCACGTGGCTGACTGTGGTTCAAGTCCCAGACGTGGCAGCTTGCTTTCTCACTTTCCCTCCCTCCTTCTCTCTCTCTGTCGTTCTCTGATCAGACTGGAAAATAATAATAATAAAGTTAAGTTTTTAAAAAATTCTTTTAAAATAGTGCCATGCACTTCTGCATGTGTTCCCAAAACCCCAAGAGGAAAATGGAAGAAAAGGGATTGCATCATGGCCATGCCCCGTGGGGGGTGATTTCTCACTTTCTGTCTCTCTGGTGAGCACATATATCATATAGCAAAATCTCTCTTAAAAAGGAAAGAGGGAAAAAGCTAAAACATATGTACAAAGTAACATTTGTTCAGCTGGTTTCTTTCTTGCAAAGAAAGGAAAATAACACTCCAAAGCAAAAATTCCTAGGAATGAAAAAAGTCTATTTTTTTTTTTGTTTTTGTTTTCTTGCTGTAAGGCATATGCACTTGCCTGAGAGAGAAAGAGAAAGTGAGAAAGTAACCCCCAGAGGGTCTCTTCTCTTCCTTTCACCTCTCAGGATTTGGGGCAGGTATACACTCACAGCCAGCATGTTTTTATGGCGCGGAGTCCAGGACTTGAACTGCCATGCAGTCAGTCATGTGGGATTCAGCAACCTCAACACCATTCCGTTGACTGGCTCACAAAAGTCTATTTTTGTAGTAAGCAGAGGAGAGCGTCACTTTTCCATTATGGTAAAAAGGTACACCAGCGCATCTAGAAAGGGGGAAGAAATCTTTATAAACATGGAGGAATTACTGCCTTCAGCAATGTTAGAGCATGAGTTAGGAGTTCATCATATATTTTTTATGTTATCTTTCATCTGTATTTTAATATTACACTAATTTTAAATAAACTGCTGCTTAAGCCAATTTTTTGTGTTTTGTTTCTTTCTTTAGGTTACACGAAACTTCCTTTTAAATGGTTTGACTACCTCAGGGAAACTGGCTCCATTGCAGCACCAGTAAAACTATTTAATAAGGTAAATTTAAGTGGCAGCAAAACAATTTTGTAGTTTTTTGATGCCCCACAGATTCAAATCATTGTTGATCAAAAAGTTAAAACTTCTTAGCAGAGATTAATAAAAGCAAGTATTAGTAATAAAGCAAATTTTTTTAGCAATCAAAACTTGTTTCCAAACTATGTTTCATGTTTAATCTGAATATAATAGAATTTTCTACCTAATTCTCAAATGCTTCACTATCATGGTATGTTCAAAAAAATTAAAGAATTATTTCGGATTTTTAGCTTAAATTATGTCATTTGGCCGCACTACTTCTAGGTTTTATTTGGGGGAGATTTTTTTTCCCTTTCTTAGTAGTAATGGAATCGTGCATTTCTCTGTACACCTGTGTTAATGTTTTGCTTTTCTGTGTTAGGATGTTCCAAATCACGGATTTCGTGTAGGAATGAAATTAGAAGCAGTGGATCTCATGGAGCCACGTTTGATATGTGTAGCCACAGTAACTCGAATTATTCATCGTCTCTTGAGGATACATTTTGATGGATGGGAAGAAGAATATGATCAGTGGGTAGACTGTGAGTCCCCTGACCTCTATCCTGTAGGGTGGTGTCAGTTAACCGGATATCAGCTACAGCCTCCAGCATCACAGTGTAAGTTGGTGTACAAAATAAGTATCCTTTAGTAAAGTCAGCAGTTCTCCAGAGGAGTATCTCATACATCATCTTGTGGGCTCACAGGACAAGAGCATACCCATGTCTCATTGGTTGCCAGGTAAGATATCAAGACTCAGCCACATCACAGATCAGATCATGTGTACCACGGCAGTGTGACTTGCAGGGACAATAGTCACTAAATCAGATGAGACTTACTGTTTAGTGAGATTAACTTACAGGCTATTTATGGTATCTAATAAGCACTCCTAAATAAATAATGGAATCTGTCTGGCACTGAGACTCAAAAAACTTAGGGACAAGTGCCCTTATTTACAAAGCACTCTTATAAGCATCGTGATCTTGGTAAAGATCATCTTTCGAATAACTTGTATCTTGAGTTGTGAGCAATTAAGTACCAATTTTCCCTTTTATTTTTCAGCATCAAGAGAAAGTCAATCAGCTTCATCAAAACAGAAGAAAAAGGCTAAGTCCCAGCAATACAAAGGACATAAGAAAAGTGGGTCACCATATGGTGTTCATATATATTTTCTAGTTGTTAATCAATTAGGGTCAGAACATTCTTACACAGAAAATGATATCCCTTGCGAGAACTGGTGATTGTGCATTATGTGTTATGTTTAAAGGTGCAGTATGCCATAAAAGGCAAACCTTCTCAATGATGAGGAAAACTTCTGTTTTAATTGACAGTAAAAACAATTACTATGTTATTTAAAGCCTACATGGGAAAATATTGAGCCTATAAATGATTCTTGAAATAATGTGTAAATGTACCAAAGTTAATCCTTTTTTAAAAAATTTTTCATTTGAAAAAAAAAAAAAAACAGGTGTTTGTTGCTTAGCACAGTTAGCTTCCTGGAATGATACTTAATAAGAAATCAAGTTTGATGGCCTGCAAAGTCAGGCTTAAGATATTGCTAAATATGCTTTCTGTACTATAATTTACCTCACAATGAATGATTATTTGCATTAATAATCAAAGTAATATAAATATATTAACAGTTATATTTGCTTCTTGTAAAATCTTTTTCCTTCACCATAGAAAGTCACAGGTTTTTTCTTCATGAAACTATCATGGAATATTTTATTCAGAGATAAGGTTACATATGTATTTTTATTTTATTGGAGAGGTTTTTACTATAGGCCACATATGCTTGCTGAACAGAGACAGACACAAAGTGAGAAATCACCCTCCAGGGGGATGGCCACACCGCAGTCCCTTCTCTTCTCGCAGTTTTAGGCACACACACACAACGTGCCCTGCGCGGCGCCATTTTCAAGCCACCAGGTCCTGGACCCAAACTAGAGTTGGCTATGTGGGAGTCCAGCAATGTAACCATTACGCCATCTGCTGGTCCCCCTGAGATAAGGTTACTTCTTTTTATTGAAAGATAATTATAAAATAAAATGTATACTTAATTAAAAAACAGAAATGGATTTTTCCAGGTGACTTGCCCTATGTTCAGATAAGTGCTGATCTGTCTCACTGACAACCAAGAGACTAAAGCAGCATGAAGAATCAAATGCACCCCATCCCTACCTTTCTGATAATGATTGATCGGTTGGTTGGTTGGTTGTAACGTTTTAAATTGAAAACTAAAAAACTTCTAGCCACCACTGTGGTGCTCTGAAAAACAAGTTTCCTCCCAGCATGAAACCCAGATCTGTCTCACTGTAGTGATAGATAATCTGCAGGCCTGCCTCTTGCCCTCTCTTTTGCAAACATAAGCCTCCATAGGCCCTGAATTTTCTTGTCCACCAGCTTCTTGCCAGCCCTGACATTCACCTAACAGAGCCTTAGAGAACCTTGCCAGACCAGCGGATCAGAGTGAGGCCCCATGTATCCACACGGTTGGGAAGAGTTCAGGGGCATGTTAAGTCAGAGGACTGAACAGAGCAGCTTTCTGTAAACTGAATAGCACAGGCTGCTTTAGCCTGTCTTTGCACTTTCTGTTGGATAAGACTTTACAACTGCAGGATTTTCTTTCCAAAATGTTGAATTAAGGACTTTTTTTATTATTATTATTATTCAGTGGCTATATGACATACAGTGTTTGGAATTGATTCATGAGCATCATGGATGCAGCTCACGTGCCTCCATTAATGTGACTCTTCGCAGTGTTTGTTTCTGGCTTATGGGTTATAAATTGTTTGATTTAATTGGCTAGGAGCATGGGGAACAGAATGTAATTGAGGAGGTAATAATAGCAATAACCCAGTTTTTAGCAATTATTTCTTGTTAACAGATTTCTGAATTATCCCAAAAATGAGTTAGCTATAGATACAGCATATTCCTTAACTGAGGTTTTAATAGCTTTTAATGTCACATTATCTCTAATAAAGTTTGTAATTAGTATTTCTAGTCAAGTATGGTTTTGTTGCCAGAGTTTTTTTTTTTTTAAAACAAAAAAAAAGAAAACTCTTGAATGCTGGACTCAAGTATAAGGATTTCTGCCATCTAAAGAAGATGTAGCCTTTGTTTTAATGGTACTGCCAGCACTTTATTTATTACTCAGCAAATAGTTTATTAGAAATTTTTCACATAAACTTTAGTTACTCAGTAAACATTTTAGGATTCAAAGCCTATGTCATCTATTGCAGGCAATAGCGGATGGATATAAAACCTTTTTTTTTTTGTTTTTAAGTTTGCCTATGGAATATTATGTTCTAGCTCTGTTGTTTCATCTTAAAGATCTTTGGTCTGTTTGTATTAAAATTATCCAACAGTATGTTTGTTGGTAGTTATTATTTACATTAATAGGTACTTGATTGGTTTCGTTGCTTTGTTTCGTTGTTCTTGTGTGTTTTGTAATGAGCTGTGTTCATGCTCTAAAGGGCTGGCTATTAATTAGCATTTTTTAAAAAATAAGAATAATTTGCCAAGAGAATCATACAGACCTAAAAGAAAGCCTTGTTTTCTCAAGCTGTAGTAACTCCAGAGCAGAACAAGCAGCACTAATTTACATTTTAAATGTTATCATTTTTAGCAGTTACTGTTAGGTAATAGGAGTTAGAGAGTTTTCTCTTTGTATTTTCGCTTCTACTACTGTAGCATATGAGAGAAAATCTGAGTGGTCACTGCACATTGGTTTGGGTTTGGCAGTTGAGGATTGATTGAATGCATACACTAGTGGCTTTGTTTCCGGATCATTTTATATAGGAATACTGTCCGGCTTAGATTTATCTTTTAGTTCTGATTTTGTGGAGCATAATTTTTGTTAGCTCTTTCCTGGGTCATTGTATACTTCGGAAGAAAACAGTAATAGCCTGTAGTTACAACGATATGTAAGCGTCCTTCAGCTTTCAGCCTGATTAACATACTGTACATGGTTCAGCATTTGCAAAGTTCAGAGTATTTTTCTGACTGGTGAAAGCATTGTACAAGTCTTGGAAGGCTTATGTTTCCTTATGAAACTATAACCAAGGGGTGCGATCAATTTGTCTCAAAAGAAATTAGGTTGCTTGAGAACTGGAAGGCAATAAACTCTGGATTTCAAAGTACTTTTCAGAGTGGACTATGACAGTCTTGGCAGCACATTTTATATCAGTAAAATACTGCCTCTTAAATAATATATTTAACCTGTTTTACTTTGATTTTTCCCTAAAGGCCCATGTTTGAACATACATGGGCAGTGTATGTTGGGTTGGGGACCCCACCTCAAGCTAAGATTTTCCTGAAAGAAACTAGCCAGCTATTCATCCTCCACACTTAATGTTCTCTCTAGTTCATTTTGCTTAGTTTTGGTTTCTATTTATTCAAGAGTCAGAGCTAGGATTACCAGGCTCTCGGAGAGAAGCAGTTGCCACATCAGCCACTCCCCAACACATGCACACAACATTCCCACATCTTCAGAAATACAAACCATGCATAGTTGTTTCTTTTCTCAGAGTGTCCTATGCAGCCCGACATTCCTAGTTAAATGATGCACTTTTCTTACCACGCATGTGAGTAAAAGCTTACTTTAGTCTGACTTGATATTTAGAGAGGAAGATGCCAGTTGGGAAGAAGCCTGTCAGTTTGTCGAGCCTGCCCATGACAGGTGGGGTGCGGAGGAGTTTCTCTGGTGACGAAGAGTTGACTCCTCCTCCATATCGAACCCTGCCAGCACAGACAGCCCCAGAGGCCTTCCCACCTCCCAGCACTAGCCAAGAGTTCAGTCCCAGCCTCAAAACAGGTAACTAGTCACGTCAGCACCTCAGGTACTGCAGAGGGTGAAAGGGTAGGGTGGTGGGAGTTCAGCATGGGTTGGCATGACAGGCGGCTGACTCATTGCAGTTTTCTTTTTCCACTAAAAGTCATTTTCACTAGTCCTCGGTAGTCACTTCACTAAGACAAGTCATCAGGGAAGGATTTTTAGTTTATTAAAAAACACTTCAGATCTTCCGGTTAGGGTCAAGTAATCTTATCGATGCATAGAATTGTGAGACAACTTGTAGTTCGTGGATTCATTAAGGTAACTGAACGTGTTGCATTATAGATTCCTGTGGGCATGTTGCATTATAGATTCCTGTGGGCCTTGATCGGGGAGGAAATGTGTCATAAGGGAGCGGTGTGCTATCTGCTACAGAACACGTCTCCATTCGTAGCATCCTATGGTGGCTCATTCACGAAAGGGATATGTTTGAGTTCCAGTATAGTTTGAGGTTTGGTAGTGATATTTGCCGTGTTCTCAGTTGGACAACACAGGTTTTTAAATACAGTGCCTGTATAATTGTGTTGTTGAGTTTGTGTGAAATTTACATGTATCATTTCATGTGGGTGTATGTGTGGTGATGAATTAGGTATGTGACCTTTGAGTTCAAGTGGTTAGGGCAAGGTCATGAGGAAGACTGCAGAAGGTATTGCCCTTTGTAATGACAAGGACAAAGGTGGTATTGTCATAGGGTGTGACAAAGGCTTTGCTTGTGTGTCATAAACTTGACGTGTTAGTACAGACCATGTAACTTCAAAGCCAAAATCGAATCTGCCTTGGCCTATATTCCGCCCTACCCGACTCATGGCTTTTAATTGAAATGTTCTCATCTTCTAGATGTATTTTTTATGTTGAAAACCTAGATGGGACTTAGTTCATAGCTGTGTCTTCTTTTCAATCCTCTGCTAATATTTTTGTACCTGAAGCTATCAGCCTTTTTTCTTTCCCCCATGTTAAGGTGTATTCTTTAGCTTTTGTTTCCATCACAGTGTATTAGGTCATACATCTTGTTCCTTCCCAGTTTCTCTGAAGATGAGCCTCCCAAAACCTAACTGTTTATAGCCTACTGTTGGCCAGAAGCCTTATCAGTAAAGATGCTACAGAAAAGAAAATTATAAGGAAGAGAAGATGCATTTGTCGTTTTATTGAAAAAAAGAAATGTTATATAAGTGGACCAAGTGTTCAAGGGCCGGCTGTACTGTATATGAAAGATAGGTTAGCATTACAAATCCAGTGTACCTGCTTTTAGTGGAAAAGCCTTCACAGTCTACATAAAGAGCATTCCAGTTTCTTGTCTTGTTTGTGTAACTTTTTTTATACTTGTTATTTATTAAATAGTCATCTGTTACCTAATTAGGTGTGAGTTACAAAAGTTCTAAATATATTGGAATTTTTATTGGATTCTGGATGTATTTTCTTTAAACACTGGGCTGACTTTGGAGGCATGTGTCACCTGTTATTAGAGGTCACTGAATTATTTAAAAACAGAACTTGACTTCTGGGATTGGCAGAACCCAGGAACTTAGAGTAGCTATGATAGATAGAAATCACACAGCCTCCTATGTGACCTCCTCCTCCTCCTGGTGTCTAAAGTGTGCGCTGATCCGAGGGTGCATCTTGAGGGATTTGTTGTAATTTTACTCTGGTGAAACTGTGTAGGGACTACATTGCTGCCTTAACTGCCTGAAAGCTACAATTTGATTAGCTGTTGAAAGAGTTTACTATTGATGAGCTTTTTAACTGGGAAGAAGATATGTTTTCAGTTAGTTTACCTCCTGAAATGTTAGTGATTAGCATCAGCAAACTGATTTCCTTTTAAAAATGGAGCTAAGGAAATGGATTTGTGCTGAAGGTGACATTCAGCCACAGACTCTATTTCATTTATGATTCATTGAGAATAAGAGCAGGAAGGAGAAATGTTTAGTGTGAAGATAGCAGACAGACTTAGATTTCATGAAAACCGTGAAACTTGCATTAAAACATTCCACATCTGAGTGAATGTTTCACCTTTCTCTTGATCTTTTTTTAAACACGTCATTTCCATATTTTAACATCACTATAAGCCAAATCCTGAAATTTGTTGTTAGTAGTAAGGGCATATAGCTTTAAAGAAGCTATAGAATCTCAGCTTATCTTTCTTTGCATTAAAAGAAACACACAAAAAAAGCATCCATTTGAATGATACATGTTTAATCTTAAAGTACAGTAATTCTTTTCTCATTCATTTAGCCATCTGATCATCATATAAGACGATACCGTTTATCAACCTTTTATTGTGGGTACTGCACCTTTAATGAAACTTGGGTTTTGTTTTCTTTTCCATGTGTTTATTTTTATTATATTGTTAAAATGTCCCTAACAATTAATGCACGTTGATTAGATTTGAAAGATGACTATTATGCGTTTGATGTTGTTCTCCATAAACGTATTTGTATCACAAAGACAGGAAGGTACGCAGTCTTGCTTCCCCTTCAACAGTCTAATCAGCGTTTGTTTTGCTATTATTATACACATTGTGTATTCACTTTTCTGTCTTTGGGCTATTCAGCTTTTTACTGCCAATACCAAAACGAGCACCAAAGTAAAATAAAATATGCTATGTCTCAAACGGTTATTCTTTATAGCCAGCAGATGGCGTGATGGTTAGGATGCTGGACCCTACTTGACTGACGACAGTTCAAGTCCTGGATCCAGCAGCTTGTAAAACAGACCAGGCACATGTGCACGTGTGTCCAAAATCCTGAGAGGCGAATGGAGAAGGGATTGCAGCGTGGTCCCCTGTGGGGTGACATCTCACTTTCCTTCTCTCTCTCTTTCTCCAGCAAGCACATGCACACTATGGCAAAAATCTTTTTTAAAAAATTCTTTAAATTAGTAAATAAGATATCAGAGACCTTTATTTTAAAAGCATAGAGGGGCCAGATGGTGGCACAGCAGCAACATAACGATCCACGTAGGAAGGTTCTGGGTTTGCATCCCAGGGCCACCTTGTACACACCAGACACATGCATGCACATACCCGTGATCCAAGCTGGCGGAAGCTTAGGGAGGATCACAGCCACAGACCATGTTGGGGATGTCTATCTCGTGAGCATTCCCTCTCTCTGTCATGGAATAAAGAAAGAAATTAACTTTGAAAAATATTTTAATGAAAATATAGCCATTTTAATATTGGTCCACTTGGTAACAGTTCTCACTTCATGAAAAACATAAATGGCTTACTACTCATCTAAATACTCTTCATTCCTAATTCTCCTAAATACTCTTGACTCCTAACTCTCCTCATAAATGGACTATTTTTTCCAGTATGAGCAGTTCCAATTACTTTCCATATACAGGATCCCGTTAACTTCAGTAAAAAGATAAGTAACATACAGAAGCAACAAACTTTAGCTTTGATGTGGAGCCCAGCGCCTGCAGGGCCAGCCAGGAAGGCTAGGTAGAGCTGCATGGTACAAGCAACTCTCAGGCTGCCCTGTCGGTGCAGCAGCTGGTCCATGCCCACCAGTCCTGGCGCCGCAGCCTGCGAGTCGCACGCTGCCAGGTCCATCTACCTTTCAGGTTTTTTCTTTTTTTTTCTTTTTTTTTTTTTTTTTTTTTGGGGGGGTTTTTCTTATAGGGGCCC